ATCCCCCCTGGGGGAAGTGAGCGAGCGGCTGTGTGGGGCTGAGTTGCCAGCTGGGGTTAAACCACAACAATGTCTCAGAAAGAAAGTATAAAAGGAGACAAATTACAATCCCTTGAAGATTTTCACAATACAACTTAAAAACACCTTAACTAAGGGCATTTGATAACTGGCATTTGTCTATTCAATGCAATCAGAGGCTCTTCTTAGCATAAGACTTTTAGTTTATGGTACAATACCATATATTTCACATATCTCTCAAGTGAAATAAGTGCCATATATACACCCACACTGCAATGCTACTGTCACTAACCAGGATGCTGAGATGGGAACGGAGTAATTAGCTCCAACAACTGCAGTGATATGGATGCAAGGTAGAAACACGTGTACATGTCCTACATCAGGGAAAGGGAAGTACCTAAATAAAATGAAGGCGTGCTCGGCATCGTTTCCATCCCACAATTATCAGCATTTCTTGGACAGAAAAAAAGATTAAATATACTACTTCTTCTGGTGTTCTCACATACACGGTATTATGCAAGAAAAGGCAAAAGACACGAAGTTATTGCCAGTTAAGAGGAAAACAAAAAATAATTATTGTATCTGTCTTTTAGAGGCTCCTGAAACATTTTTCCACTCAATACACTTACTCTGGACTCTGCATTTGCCAGTATGTGGCAGCGGTTTGTACTGTGACAAGAGGTAAAAGCTCATTTCATTTCACTATTATGTGTCTCATTTTAATGTGAGCATGGTGTTTGCCAGCTTCAGAGGAACCAAGTATTTGCAAGGTGCTCACGTATCAGTGTTGACTGAGAAACAGAGGGTAGAGAAAAGGCAGGAAGAAAAATGAACAGAGACTTTTCTGGCCTCTGTCAGGAAAATGGCGTAAGAGAATTAGTTTTCTCTATTTAGGCATTTCACTATTATGTGTCTCATTTTAATGTGAGCATGGTGTTTGCCAGCTTCAGAGGAACCAAGTATTTGCAAGGTGCTCACGTATCAGTGTTGACTGAGAAACAGAGGGTAGAGAAAAGGCAGGAAGAAAAATGAACAGAGACTTTTCTGGCCTCTGTCAGGAAAATGGCGTAAGAGAATTAGTTTTCTCTATTTAGGTAGAGTGGGTAACTGGAGCCCAAGGGTGTTTAAATTCAAATTTAAATTAAATAAAATTTTAAGTTCCTTTAATATCAGTGTACCAATTTCCACAACACCAGAAAGGAGGAAAATCAAGCCTCTTATGGAGATGCAGGTAGTGCATGGATTACATTTGTCTAGAGGCCGTGAGGGAACACACACGAGAAGTCTGGCCTAAAAGCTCATTTCCTTTGACACTCTGCTGTCTACTAGAGGGACACCAGAATGGCTGCGTACAGCCCCGTGCCCAGGGCACATGTTCAGACCATTATTTGAGGGGCACCCCGGCACCTCCACATGAGAATGCTCCTAGTCCCACCCAAGTCCACATGCAAGTACGACGGTCTGCACAGTAAGCACTCCCCTCAAACTGATGCTAAAAGCTGCTGCTCAATCCACCTGGAAGGAAGAAGCTGGGCCTAAGTAGTCAGGAGGAAAGGTTATGGCAGTAACTACAGCCTACTTTTAGGTAGCTGTTATATCACAAGACCAACTAACTTCCTTCCCACTGCAGAACCACGTCAGCATTGTACCATAAGCACACCTTTCTGAACGCCAGTACAAGAATAGACATCCTGTGGTAAGGCAGAGCTATATGCCACGAGGTGTCACGAAGAGTCAGCTGGGCCATAAAGCTCGATCGGGTTCTCCCCTCCCAGGTACACTGCTTTGTAGGGAGGCTGTTTCTGTGGCCTGTGAGCAGGAAGGCCAGGAAGTGTCACAAAACCCAATTAAACTCCCTCAGAAGCACTACCCTCAAGTAAAGGGCACCATACCGAATCAGGTCTGCCATTGGCATCCTTCAGCTCCAAGTAGGGCTTCTTCTTCACTCTGTTCAAATCCTCGTGCAAGCCATCTAGAAGAAAAGCCAAGAGCTCCTGGGAATCTTGCTGCTGGTATCCTGAAAACTGAGGAGCAAATCGGCCAACCTGCGTCTGAAACACGAAGGCAAGAGTCAGAGGGGGGTGAGCATTACCTGTGTGTAAGAGACAGGAATAAAAACACTCACTCTGAATTTTGCAGAGATCAACTCCATGCTACATTATGTTAGCAGTAGACAACAGTGAACTGGATGCTAACACAGTAAGGGTGCCAGAATAATTTTCCCAACTATTTTTATTTTTCCCCATAGTGTTGAGAGGGAAGAATGCATTTAGTGCTGTGACACTAGAAATCTAAGTTATCAATATTAACTCAGGAACCTGCAAACAACGAGTATGCAAAACCTGTGTGTTTTGCATCTGCCCGATGCATTTTGTACCTTAATTTTTCTTTCAGAAACCTACAGTTCCTACAAGGCAGACTTGCTATACGGTAGCATCTTGAAGCAGGTGGACTGCAAGACTGAAAATGCTTGCAGAAGATACTTATGAACTAACAAAGCTGGCTTAAAACTAGGATTGAAATCCTCGCCACAGTAACCTCTAGCTGTTCTAAAAATTGTGATATGAAGCTAAGAAACATAACAGCCTGAGTTAGTGAAAGCCAGAAACAGCACACCCAAATACAGCCTCTTATTTCATAAGTGCTATCTCGCAACACTGCCATTTAGTGTTGTTGGATCTTAAAAAAAAAAAAAAAAAAAGAACACAAACCACCACCAAAAAAACATCCACCAAAAAAACCCCAAAAACCAAAACCAATAGAAAGGGCTCCCACAGGAAAACCAACAATTATCTGAAGGAGTGGTCAGTCTTAGTGACCATCACTAGTTTTCTCATAAACACAAAGAGTCCAACAGACTTGCAGAATTATGCTTGGTACATTTTAACCACTCCAGATGACAACTGCAAGGTAGCCTAAACTGAAGGGCTGTTTATATTGTAGATAGTTAATGCTGTCACTAAATCAGCAACAATTGTTAGAAAAATCACAAGTAATACTGTACTAGGAAATAAAGACTAATTCCTATTCCAGTCTTAAACAAGAACAGCCCACATTAAGACAGTTTTACTGATGTCCATTACAGATTCACGTATTTCCTCTGAACCGAAGTTTACGGAACAACTTTAATAGCGGTGGATACATGCCAGCAACTCCAAGTACAAAAATTAAACAACATCTTGTTGTTTCAGAACTACCTATGACCCCACAGAGGACTTCTGTAGATTTCTGTAGTCCCTAAGACTTTTGCTCCAGGTCTCACCTTCAAGACTGTACCATGCAAAACCTGAACAGCAACAGGATGCACATTTACATTAATATCACGTCATTGCTTATTTCATGCATTTGGGAAGTTATTCTTCCTCAGCGTACTGAGATTGCACTACAGAAGCAAACTCAAGTGTTCCTTGGATGCTTTAATTACGTTGTTCTGCACTGGAGCATCTTTGCATTATATTTAAAACAAATGACAGTTACAATTTTTCTAGGGGTTCATATACAACTGCTGCATTGCTGTTTTTCAGTTGAAAGCAGCTCTTTACACTGAAGCAATGGGAACATTATACCAATAAATAATATTATAGACAAGGGGATGCATTTTGGCCACCATTTTATAATTTAATTTTTTAAATTTATAACTTGCACACCTTTTCTCACTGATTAAAGTTCACAGCTGGCAATTCACATGACCTTGCCTAGTTTTGTAGCAAAGATCATTTTGATGCATCTGTAAACAGCTCTCAGGCTGGAAGGTCATTTACTAAGTAAGGCATTTAACATTAAAGAGCAGTAACCAATTCCAGGGCATGACAGTACTCACTGGCATGACACTACTCACTGGCAAGTTCCTCCTTGCACCCTGAAAAGCACTTACATAAAACGTGAAACAACACTGAAGCAATTCTGTAATTACTGCTTTCGTAACACCAAAATATGTGGAAGGCATATTAGCCTTCATTGTTTCTTCTGTCAAAGAGCTATGCTACAAGAACATGGAGTACTTACTTTAAACATACGTGGGGCCACATGAGACTGTCTCCCAGACCAAATCTGTTTAATGAGCTCTGCATAGGCTTCTGCAATTTCTCCTCTCATCCCCAGTGGATTGTTCTGATTTATTTCAGCTTCATATTTATCTTCCAGGAAATAGTCAGTCAGAGGAGGGGTATTGCTCAGACACTGAAAAAGCATTAAGAAAATGAACTTACTGCACAGGACAATAAATCTGTGTGACAATGAAATAACAAACCCAGCTTTCACATCAGAACGTGTATTAAGCTATTAACAAAACCGGCGAGACTGAATCTGAGTACATATTTACTGAAAAAAAAAAACCCCAAAAAACAAAAAAGCCCAATCGATTGGGAGGGTGGGATACTGTAACCATTGCAACTCAAGAGCATGGTTGAAATAAACAAGAAACACCACCAAATAAGCATTCAAAAGACTAAGCTCATTTCTGAAACGTGATTTCTCTTTGCAGATGCCACACTGACTTCCCTCCTACACAATGTATTTGCCCACAAGTGTAAGCTTCCCCTCTGGAGCAGTTTCCACTGGTTTACCTAGCTTAAGGCATAAGGCTCACTGGTCTGCAGCTCCTTGGTTCTCCTTCAGAAATTTCTTTAAAACTGACATCACATTTGTCACCTTCCGTTACTTTGGTGCAAAGTAATTTTAAGCATTCATTTAAAGTTACTGTATTTAATAGTTCAGCAAAGCAAAGAGCAAGCAACCTTCTGAAAAAAAAAAAAATCACAGACTTTTGGAAAATATCTGCTCTTGGTATTATGCCCCTCCACATTTTGTTAATTTGTTCTGTAACTTCCACTGACACTTCAATTTGAGTAGTCCCTTGGTGTAATGCTGAAGTCTGACACAAAACCAAGTCTGCAAGTGCCAGAAGAGTAAAGTTTACAATCACACTCCTGCCAATACTCACCAAATCCTATAGTTAATGTACGTTAGCCTGTTTTTCCACACATTACTGAGGTGGTAGAGTAGGCTAACTTACTGATTATTACATAGAAATCTGCACAGAACAGGTCAGGAAGGTCTTTAGAGATGTCACTTTAGTGTTCTCAAGTCTACATCCCGTATCCACTCTCTAACCTTGAAATCCTAATACAAGCAACAGTGAGAATAAGAAAGGTCCTTGTTCCTCTTTAACACAAGCTATAGTTTGTCCTACAAAGAACCACATGCCATTAAAAAAATCCCCACCAAAAAGTTAGCAAAGTTTAAAGGCAGGAAGAATACCACTCCATATCTGCTCTCTTATTTATATACTTATTATCAGTGTATCATGGTAATGATTTAATACATCCTGGAGAATCACCATAAACCTCAGGACACAAGTAAAACTAGTACAGGAAGTAGTTTCCCTAATTGAATAAAAGACTCAAAGCTTATAGCAAGAAGTGACACTCAGATAAGTAAGGCAAGACTTGGATATGTGAACAAAAAGAGAGCCAAGTCTGAGATTATGATCAAAACTCCTAGGACATCAAGGCATTGAAATATCAATAAAATAGTAAACTGGGCTCTTTCTGAATGCCTGAAATTTCAGTTCCTTGCAGGTGCCGCTACAGTGCTTCACCAACCAGCTGTAGGTACACAGATCTCCCAGCACAGTTATAAACAGCAATCTGGAGAGAGTCCGGAAAGTGTGGTCCTGCCCTTTAGCCAGCCCCACTTTCACTGCCTTGATGCGTACCTTGTGGAATTTATTTCCTATCAAATTTTTCCAGTTCCAATGCCTAGGTGTTAGTGTCATTCTCCAGGCAAGTGACATTAAAGTGCTTACAGACTGCTATGATTTGACACCAGTCTCCCACTGGGAGACTGTTGCTGATAAAATTCAAAGAATTTCCAAAAACTAAAGCAGAAATCTGCATTTGAAAGACTGATGTCTAGAAAATTAAAGCCTAATGGAAAATACAAGAAAGAAAGTAATTGGTCCTTAACATGACTAGTTTGATGCAAAATTAAAATTGAAATGTGTTTGGATTAAGTTACTTTGATAATCAAAATTAATTTTAAAAGTTGTCTCTTTGCTATAAAGTTCAAGAAAACATAATGTGGTTTAAGGTTACCATGATACAACTGAAAATAAAGTCCTGTCAAACAAAAAAGTGAGGCAGTCCAAGTTTACTGTGGTATCCTGAATACCACACGCATAATGCATTATAGTTATTTTAAGATCTGTTCTAGCTTTCTAGCTACCAGAGTGACAGAAGTAATTAAACAGCACTTGTGCCACACTAGAAGTTTGCCCATTGCTTAAATCAAAGTTGGTATAAGTTGGCTCACATTTTGTTTGAATTCCTTAGCAAACAACTATCCCTAACAAGTTTCTGCATTTTTTGAAATGAACCAAATAAACCTAAGAGATTAACTTAAATAAGTATACTAATAATTATTAGCTTTGCATAACCATTACAACCTTACCACCCCACACAATCACCCTGAACCCTTCCTGTCGCTTTTCACACTCTTAATTTTTCTGTGTGCAGTGTGGCCTGCTCATGTCACTTACGCTGCACACACAAGTTGAAACGTCCTCCACGTCAGCCCAGTTTTTTTGCCAGAGCACAGCATTAGGACCTTACATTACACTTAGGCACCTGTTTACTACGACTTCCCCCATAGCCTTTCCAGAGCCTTGTATTTCAGATCCAGTCCTTCATGTGTACCATGTTTTATAGTACTAACATGCTACGTAAAGCCAAACTAAATATGAACTGATTTTTTTTGTTTGGTTGGGTTTTTTTGTTTGGTTGGTTGGTTTTTTGTTGAGTTTTTTTTAGCTCATTCCAGGTGCAATCTCCTCATTGAGTCACATTAAAACATGCTTTTCTTTCCACAGATTTTAATCCACAATATCTGCGAGATTGCTCTTTTATTTAATTCTAAAGAGGGCTCTTTCCAATTCTTACCTGTAATGCAGAATTCATGAAGCAGGTATTTCCAAGGTTACTGAGTCCACAGAGTCCAGGTTGTAACAGGGGAGCACTGTCCCTGCAGTTGTAAGAGTTACAGACAAATCCAGAACCTCTGGAAGAAAGACAACATAGTGAACTCCACAATGAGTTTACCGATTCTCAATCAGTAAACTGTTTAAGAGTCACACCAAATACGAGTCAAAAAACTGTTTAATGAAATTATTTAACCAGCCTACGTGTTTCTGCTGCTTCATAGTGGGTAATATTGAATACCAGGAACATGAAGTATATGTGCTCACTTTGGAAACATTAATCTTTACACAGTCTATTATTAATTTATGGCTCATAACACATTAATTTCCTCTGTCTACAAGTACACAGCACACTATCCTAATGCAGCAAGAGTCTATATGAGTATGTATGATATATTGTAAGAGCTAATAAGAAAATTATGATCTCTACCTGGAAAGGCTTCTACCACACTGGCAGATAGAGAAAAGAATATAATCCCTTCCCTCATACCCTCAATCCCTCCAAAATCCCGCAATGCCCTAGTAGTTAGTAAGCTCTGGAACATGCGCTACTTTTGCAAGTGAGCAAGGAATAGCAGAACGTAGTGGTTTCAAAAGCAAAGTTTGATAAACAGGTACACAAGAGTAGCAGAACTCCTCATAGGGTACCATCACACTCCTCTTCTATACAGGCAAGGATGCACAGGAGTATTCATTCACATGAAGGACGAAGAAACAAATTTACCCCCTGCCCAGGTGGGAGCTGTTCAGTCCATAGGAGTTACTGCTATCACCGTTAGTAATGACAGAAGTGGCAGACACTGAGGAATAAGAACTTGCTGATGATTTTGAAGAGGTAGTAAAGTTTCTGCTAGTTGCAGTGCTTGATCTGGGAGAAAGGAAAAAGAAGTAGAAACAGTGCTACTACTTTTTTCACCCCCAGCCCCACCCCCCCGCAAAGCTCCAAGGACTTGCCACATTATAGCTAGCTCTCCCCCACAGAATTTACTGGTTTGATCTGTGTGATCACACTTCCAAACACTTGTCTGGAACAGAAACCTCAGACAAAAGTATCAGAAGCAGGAGTAACAATTCTTGCTTAAAGCAAAATCTGGGTCCCAGACTGAAATAAGTAGGCAATTCGGATGGCATGAGTGACAGGGAAGCAAGCTTTAAGTTTATGGGTAAACTACCTTGAAACAAGCAAGCAAAATAATCCCAATCTTAAGACCACAAAACACTTGCCCCACATTAAAAGTGACAAAGTCAGTCCTTCCCTACTTGAAGCCCAAATCACCCACTCAAACAGAATGTTAGTAAGATGATACCCAGGGCGGGCACAAAACAGTTTCTTACTGAACCTAATTAATAAAACTACATTGCTTGGAGGCAAGACACACTGCTATGTACATGCAGCGCACATAGCAATCCTCATCATTTTGAGACTGGAGATACTGAAATGGATGAAAAAAGTTCATAAGCCTCAAGTCTATCTTGTTGTGAATCCCAGGCCATTCCACACTACTACTCTCCTGGTCTGGAAAAGAACCGGAACACAATGTTACAAAACACCACCAAGGCACTAAAATTCAACAATGTTCTGTCATAGACAGCTTTGGCTCCACAAAAAAAAAGCAAAACCACCTAAATAAGCGTAAAGAAACTATTTTGATACTAATGAATTTCCCTATAGCAAGAGCTAACTGGGAAATGGTCTATTCTCTCCATCTTTGCCCAAATAAACATGCAAAACTGAATGCAAAAAGCTGCAGGACACCAACAGCCACACAACAGTGGCTAATGCACCCAAGGCACAGCAGAGCGCCAGCAGAGGACAGTGCCCTCAAGCTTTAGCTTGTTCTTGTATCTCCTTTAATGTGGCCCTGATTCCCAAATGATACAAACTACAAATGCATATTCATAGCTCAGATGCTACTGAGAAAACAGTCTTGGCAAACCTTTGTATGGAGCAAAAACTAAGACATAGAACAAGCCATAATGACGAAGAGGAGGCAGAACAGCTGGACAGCCTTACCAGTTTGGAAATATAATAGCAGTAAAATAAATACAGAAGGAAACAAGTTATAACAAGAGCTTCCAGATGAAAACACAAACCCCAAACGCAGTCTAAAGCTGAAGCACGCTAAAAAAAAAAAACCCACTAGCCAGCAAAACCAGAAAGTATACTAGCAAGAATGAGCAGATCTACCGAAATAACTAAGACAACAATTTCTGGGACAATACACGACCTTCTGGTCATTACATGTTGGAGGTGGAACTTCTCAAGACTACCTGGATACAAAGATAAGATCAATGAAAGAACAAGAGGGTCTAGACTAAAACAACAATTATCAGACTCATGCTCCACATGTGTTTTGAGGAATAAAGAATAAAATAATTAAGTTAACAATAGCTTGTAAATCCATTAAGAACACATTTTTAAAAGTTTGAAGTAGAAGTGCATTATCTAAAAGCAAAGAAGAGCAATCTAGAAAATGCTAGACTTGAAAATGTAGTATCTCTGCTTTACATGTTTGGCCCCTGTCAGAGAACAGAATAAGACGCTTGGAAAATAATATGAAGAAAATCTAACAGGGAGAAAAGTAGGACGACCTCTTAAGGGATTTCAAAATTTCCAATAGAAGCATAGAGGCAGTGCATAATCAAGAGTCAGATAGCAACTGAAGAGTTCCAAGAAGCACTTCAATAGTTCAATAGCTTCAATCAAACTTCTTAACACACACACACAAAAAGCTAAGAACTATAGGGGAAGATAAAAAACGATCAGAAAGCAAAGATAAGAGACAAGTCACAGAGCGGGGAAAGGTCTACCCACAAAGTCATCAAGGATCTTGAGTGAATTCTAATTAGAAAATTGGGAAGGATCATGTAAGTAAAACAACGAAAGAGACACCAACAGCTTTCCAAGTGAGAAAAAAAAAAAAACAGAAATCAAATGCACGTGGGAAGATAAAAATTCTAAGCACTCTTACATTTTACTGCCCCCAACACCTTGCTCTGAAGTTCATGACAGAACCTTCCAAAATGTTCTGGGCTACTCAGTGGGTTACCACTGAACCTACTCTCAGTTTGCTTAGTTTGCTCTTTGTAGGCACAACAGACACTAGACTGCAAGGTGCCAAGCTCCTGCAACTTCCCTTTGATAACTACTGCAACGTTTCTGACACGGATAAACACATTCAGTTACATTTCATCAACAAAATCTGTACAGGAGTAAACTACAGCAAAGAAAGACTTCATCTAACCATGCAACAGTTCAGGGATTTGAGAAAATAATTTCACAGGTTTGAGGATAAGACTGCATGGTATGACTGCTGAATCAGTCCTCCTGCTTAAGCACAATTTGAGTCTCTCAAGATAACTCCTGTCTGGAATAAAATACCTCTTCTAGAAAAATCTACCATCATGGTTTCACAGTGGCCAGCAACAGCCAATCCAGCAGACCACAGATAAACTGTTCCAATGATCAATAACCCTTACAGTCAGAAGAAACTTGCATTTCATTTGCAGCATGAGTATCTGGCTTCATCACCTGGACATTGGTTTGTGCTCATCTCCATCTGCTGCCTGTAGAGTTCCTTCTTCAATTTCCATTTCTCATATCCCACAGAGCTTTTAAGTGTTAAAATCAACTTTTAAATTTCTCATTGATATGATACTTTAACTTCTAAGTCTTCTAGCACAAAAATTATTTGCTAATTCTTCAACAATTCACTTGGCTCCTTCTGAAACCTCTCATTAGTCTACTTTTCAAATTTGTTGACAACCTCACAGGATACCATTGTTCCACATGCAGTTTTATCAGTGTGCCAGCTATCAGAAGTCTTCTGATGCACACTCAGCATTTCCCTACTGAACCACTGCGGTTGGTTGGTTGTTTTTGCCTCAAGGCTGCTACAGGAGATCACATTCAGGATACTGAACCAGGACTGGAATCACATTCCCACAGAGTCCAGCATGTATTTCGGTCTCATGTTCTTCACCCCCACATACACAACTTCATGTTTCACAATACTGATGCACATTGCCCCCATCTGCCAATTAAAGACAGCCATTTCACATCTTGCCACGCAATGTTTCAAAAACCCATACAAATGGCAAGAGAGGAGAAATCTGGAGACTAGCAGCATAAAGAGGACAAAGTTAGATTAATCTAGTACAGAAACTGTGAGGCCATATGGTTGATAAGTAGAAAAACTGCTAAGCTGAACAGCTTGAAAAAATATTGTAAAAGGCTTTCAAGTGGTTGGAAGATAGGAAAAGTATTTCAATTCAGTTGAGGCTACCTTCAGAGCATACAGTAGGAGTAAGTCCTCCTCCTTTAAACTACCAATATAAAAAAAAAACCACATTAAAAGTATTGTGACAAAAAGGTTTTGTCAAAGCAGGAAAAGCTAGAACTTAGATTTAATTGGCAAAACAGAGGCCATAATGGGTTTTCATTTAGAAAGTTCTTACATGCAAAAGCCTCCTTAACTTGTCTTACATACTCAGTGGTACTCTGGAAGCACAGCATCTGCTGCAGACTCCAGCACTTGAGTCATGTAATAAATATCTGCCCACAAAATATTTAGCCTAGTTGCTGAAGGAGTCCTCTGAAATCATCAGCACACAAGGAACTGGGGAAAGGAGATCACTTTTAAATATGAAAGGGCATTTAATTATGGTATTATGTACCTACAAAATACATATCAACAACCAAGGTCTTAAAATTGTACAGTAATTTCTGGCATGTAATATCACTGAATGTTGTATCAGGTTGAACAGATGCCTAAATCAAGATAGAGTAGTTGAGAAAAGCCACACGTGTTACAAGATGGGTGAACTACGCAACAATTCCTCAGTGAAAATGTTGAGGAGAGTACCAGGTGGGGGTTGGGGGCGGGAAAAAAAAAAAGTCAGTCCACCGACTATACAGTGCCATCAATAAATAGAAGAGCGGGAAGAGGAAACCGCTAGAAATTCTAGCAGCAACCAAAGAACCAAAAGGTATTTTCCTGCTGCATATTGCACAGGGAGGCTGACAGCTACCAGGCACATGCCAAACACAACTTCACTCCTGTTTTCAAATGCAGTACCTGATGGACAAGGTGCTATTTTTATAGATCTAACACAATTTCTTGTTCATTTGTGCTAAGACAATGATAACCAGGATGAAAAAAGTGCGTGCTAGGACTGAGCTGGAACTCTGCTAGCTCAGGATTTTATTTTGGGAGTCTTGTAAGTAACAATTAAAGAGGACTAAGTTCCACAGTCATTGACATAATCTCCCTTCAAAAACAAAGTACGCCTCCAATTCAGAAATTCCTAGAATAAGTATAATCCATTCCGTCTTCTGAAACCTTGTCTAGTAGTAAAAGCAGTTTCAAACTACAACAAGAAAGTATTTTGTTCTTTAGGGAACAGCAAATTAACAAAAAGCAGTGGCCAGGTAGGATCTGAATATCCCACCCCAGGACTGCTGTGGAGTGTAAGAACATTTTTTCTGTAAAATGTCAGCCAGCTTGATGGCTGGGAAAACACGGGGAAGGCTGCCAAACCTGTAGAAAAGTCATTTCCCCAGGTAGGAGCCAGTGCCTCTGACAAGCAGCAAATGGTGGGGAAAAATCCTTACAACAGGGAACCCACCCATCCCACAGTCACCTTGCACACACATATTCTGCGAGTAGTGAATGACATGAACTCCCCGCTTTCCAAAGCCTCTTTTGGCACACAGGCGGCAATGCAGATGCTCGTCGTTCCTCTACTGACAGCAGAGAGCTCTACATCCCATTTGGTTTATGCCATCAAAACTCAAAATACAGAAAAACTTTCTCGTAAGCTTTTAGTATTAAAGTGATGCGGCCCAAAGAAAGATCTCCAAATATAAAGTTCCCCATGGTCTTGGCTAAGCAGTATTTTCTCCAGTTGAGAAACAGAATATTGGAGCAAAATGTCCACCTGAGATAGGATTAAAACTTGGAATTACTCAACTCTCTTCCAAACCACACCTCGGCACAGAGCATTTGCAGCTCCTGCTGACACTAGATGCAGCCAGAAGGACTCATGTTCTTCAGAATGTCAAAATGTAAGTTTATTTAGAAAGCATAACAGCTTATCAACATTACAGACTTGCTTAGCTTCACAAAAGAGCAGAACAGGTTTTCAGGGTCATAGTCTCATTTATCCTTCTTAGCCATGCTGCTCATGCAGCTTCCAACTCATTTCTCTCATCAGCTTTGGCTTCCAAAAAGCATCAGTTGTTTCCTACAGACAAGAACCTCCTTTACCACAGAATTACTTTCTGTAATATTAATACAGCGTAACCTACCCTGAACACCTCATCAGTGCATAGGATAAGACACTCATACTCTCCTGGGCTGGGAACTCCGTACCTTCTCTCTGGCTATTCTTCTCTCCTCCTTCCTCTCTCACCAGAGATGTCTGGTTCAATTGCTCACAATCACTCACAGATTTTATATGTATAAACAGTCCCTATGAGTTGATACTATACTCACTAATCTGGAGTCTTAAACATATACTACTGATTTAATGCAACATGTGTATGCACACACATGCCCATGGAAAGACAAACCATGTCCCAACCCAGTAACAAGATTTGAATCCTACACTTCAGGTTAGTGAGTCTTTTACCAGCTCACAGAAACAGTTAAAATGCTGGCAACGTTTCATTGCAGTACAGACATCTAACGTTTCCAGAACAAAAGAAAAAAAAATTTTAAAAGATCAACTCAGAACACACTCTAAGTCAAAGAGTACACTTTCCCTTGAGGTTTGTCTGCTGAGATATCTGCCAAATGAAAGAACATTGTTTAAAAAGCAGCTAAATTTTAAAATTGCATAGGAAAGCTTTATTAGTGATTTTATTTATTGAATTCCTGCTCTCCAAGGGAAAAAAATCCATGCTGCTCCAAGATTAATGTAAAAGACTCAACTTGAGATTAGTAAGAAATCTATGCACTTTCAATTTCATAGGGAAGTGGAATTTAGACAGTGTATTCAAAACTAAATGAAATACCAAACTACGCATAAGAAAAGACTGTCTTAAAAAAATTAAGGATTCTCAATAAAACATGAGAACTAGCTGGAGAATATTCAAACATCAAATTAAATTACAAACTAGAGATATTAAGTATTTATGCATTTATATGAAGATATACTAAAAAAGGGAAGCAAACCAAGTAAACTTCAGAACTGATTATGACTGACATGAAAGGAAAGCACAGAGCAATTATAAATGCATTAATATGGAGCAATGCCAGTGATTCAAGTAAGAGAAGTTGAATTTAGCTTACTCACTAAGAGTATATTAAGTAACAAAAAAAAGCTTCATTACTTCTTCTTTAAATACAAATCCCTTAAAAATCGGTAAAAAGCTTTGTGAAATAACCCTTGAAAAAGCAGCAGAAAAAAAACTTAACATACATAAATGATGCAGTCTAGACTGCCACCAGCCCACTCACATTTGACTGGGAGTGATAAAATGCAACAGAGGAAGCATTAAAAAGTAGAAGAAAAGTCCCCCTGGACCGTCAACATATATTCCACATAAATATCTAGAATCAGCCATCTTGGGAAGAGTCTGAACTGCAGGCTACCGGAAAACAGCAGTATACGACAGCAGATGCATTGCTAATTATGTCCTCTTCTTACAGGGAACTTTTTTCACTCCTATGTGCATCCACTACTGCCCACACGAAGAGGCAGGCTACTGGACACACCTGGTCCAGATCCAGTACAGCCTTCCTCATATTTTCAACATGAGTATGAGTACGATTCGTATTTGGTTTTGAGCTTATCAAGGCAACTGCTGTACAATATTAGTAGCTTGAAGACATAAAACAGCATAGAAAACATCACTGAACATAACGGGAAAATACTTACTGCTTGTCATGATCTTTTGTTATCGTATGTCTATGGAAGAATGAGTTCTCAGCTTTTCTCCTCCCATTTCAAACACAGGAAGAAGTTTAAAGTCCAATCTTTCTACCCAAGTTGCCTTACATGACACAGCCATCTTTGGCGCAGGAAGGCATAATGTTAGGCCGGCAGGGCTCATTATAACCCAAAGACGTTAAAGCATACTGCTTTCCTGAGAGATAGCCGTTGCCCTGGCCACTTTAAAAGGTCCTTATCATTTGGTCAGCAGTTTGCACGCCGATCAGCGCACACCAATGTCAATCCGAAAGAGGAGAGGCAATCCAGCTTCTTCTTCCCTCCTTTGTCTTTCCAAAGTGTTTCTGAATAAACAGTTATTACGCATTTAACCTACAAGACTAAGTAATGGCACAAGAGCCAGAGAGCAGAACTTGCTAAACCAATGCACCCAACTATATAAGGAAGACATTATGTGGAATATACACGCTTAGTTTCTTAACTAACAGAGATAAAGGCAAGGAAATAGCCAAGACAAAGTACAAAGGAACAGATAATCCTATATGTATGACTTAATACAATTCTTTCAGCCACCATTATCAGCATCAAGTCAAACAATTTCACAAGTTTTACATTATAATAAGCAAATGTTTATTTCTATATCATTAGAAAATATTAATCTGCATACCAATAACCATTTTCATTTAAGTATCACTAGAGGTTAATTAAAAGTCTTTACATATCAGACTAGCTGCTGAAAAAAGAAAAGACTGAAGCCTGGGAATGCTACACGGCTCCTTTTTAGTTTTGCTTCATGTTGAAACAAAAGGTTATGATCTGGTCTTGCACAGCTGCCTCTTTAATACTGACTGTCAACCAGTACTCGATTACGTAGATGCTTTTCACATGGTACTCTTACAGAAAGTTCACTGTAATACTATGGATATTCTCCTGATCCATTTACCCAGTATTATATCTCAGAAGTAGAGAATTGTTTCAAAATAGGTTTCACTGACCTACTCGATCCATTCCTCAAGTTTAACACTAGTAAGATCTTGACCTTAAATGAGACCACTTGGCAGAAGTTCTATAAGTTAACCGTATTGCATGGAAAAACATTTTCTTTATCAATATCAAGTCTGATGGCCTATTCACGGGAAAGCAAGTAGGCCATCAGACTAGTAAAATCACGGAATTTTACTTTCTGTAGTATGACTTGATATGAGCAGTTCCTTATCATTGCAAGCAACTTCCATTCTACACCATTCACTCTATACATACAATATTTCATCAAGCCCCCCTCTTACTCATCTCCTCTCTAAATTAGATAGTAGTAAGAGAGTATCTGTGTCAGTATTTACAGGCTTCTATAATTGCCTTTGGCGGCAGGGGGGATTGTTCAGCTATTTCTATGCCCTTTTTAAGGGGGAACTACCAGAACTCTGAGAATTCACTGACAGCTTTGGAAATACACTCCGAGATCCTTTTTGATCTACAGTGGTAGAAGACAGATTTTTTTTTTTTTTTCCCCCTCTGTGCAGTCTGCAGAGGTAGCTTTTTAAGTAGACTAGCTCAACACAAATAGTACTTTTGTGTCCTAAGCACTATAGAAACCTAAGCTATTTAATCCTCACACAACCTATTTGAAATGGGCTTTAAAATGGAAGACTGTTGCTAAGACAAGAAACCAGCAGCAGAACCACTGAAGAACACTTACATTCAAGATTTTCTCTCCTTCTTCAAAATACCCAAAACAAAGAAATCCACAATAGCCAGTGATAACTAGCCTTTCACAGAGAACATGTGGTCACTAAAGCCTAGTGAACAAGCTAGACAAAACAGCAGAAACCTTTAGAATATGCTTGCTTACTTTGCCAGGAAATGCTGCCCAGGCCACGTGCCATCTTCACTTTTCACTTCTATTAGAACAACCTGGAGGAAAGTTCAGGTAATAAAGAAAGGTAACTGTTAGTCTGCTACACATTTTGCAAAATCATTAACAAATCACATTTTCAATGTTTGCTCAAAGTACATAAAAGCAAGTGAAAAAAATTACATATCAGAGAAAGCAGTACATGAGAACACACACAAAAAAAGTTATGCCCCTTACCTGACCCTGATAGAGCCCTGCATCTTGCACAGTGCTATCCAGCTTGCTGAGCTGCTCATAAGTGTTACTCATATACCTGTTCCATAACCTAGTTTCCTTCTCAGCTGGGATATTAAATAGTTTTCTCATTTCTTTCTCGATGATAGCTGTTCAGGAGGAAAAAAAAAAACAACATCAAAATTCCTAAACCATAACTGCTTTTGAAAAAAAACTGACAAGCCAGGCATTCAGCAAGGAGGTACATCATTGATCCTTCAAGATCCTTTGAGCAGAAAATGTATCATGGAAGTTACAATTGCTCATATAGCTTGTCTAATATTTAGTCTGAAAGAATGAAAAGCTTCTGTTTTCAGTCATGTATTTGCCTGTCAAACCCTCAAACCAATAATGTTCAGACCACATTGAAAAATTTCTGCTCAAAGGCCAACTTCCGTGAAACAGTGATCATATGAAAACACAGGTTCAAGAAGGAAGTGTTTTCAGTTACTATTGTCAGGCCATATATCAGCAAACTGAAAAAAAAAAATCTTTATGGAGATATATGACAGCTGACATTCAGCATTTTTACACAGGAAAATACAGCGATGACACAGAGAGAGGGGAAGAGAGAAAAGGGCCAAATTTCAGGAAGAACATTAGTGTAGGAAGAGCCATTAAGAAGATGTCTAAATTATTCACACACTAGGAAGAAGGAATCGCAGGAGAACCAGAGACAGAACAACTTGACATGAGTGACGTGGATGTTTCTTAAGGACATGAGTTAGTAAGCAATGTGCTCCTCAAAGCTCTTAACCACAATTCCCTGTGTTGCACACAGAATCACTGTGCCTGGAAGAAACTCAGGAGATTCCTAGTCCAACCACTCAAAGCAGGGTCAACACTGAATTCAGACCAGGCTGCTTGGGGCTTATCCAATCACGTGTTCAAAACTTGCAAGGAAGGAGATTCCCCCACCCCTCTGGGCCCTGTTCAAACGCCATCCTAATAGGGAAAATGTTTTCATTATATTCAGTTGGAATCTGTCCTGTTTCAATTTATGACTATTGTCTGTTGTTTTCTTGCTTTGTGACTCAGTAAATAGCCTGACTCCATGTTCTCAGTAACTTCCTCATAGGTGCTACGAGATCCCCCTGAAAGCCTTCTCTTCTCCAGGCTAAACGCAGCTCCCTCAGCCTCTCCTCACACATCATGTGCTCCAACCCCGACTGTACTGTTGGTACCCACTAGACTTGCTCCAGTTTATCAACATCGTTCTTGTTCTGGAGGGCACAAAGTATCTCGAGGGAGCATGAGAGAACTACTTACCAACAGTATCTGCTTTGCTAAAGTGGCAGCTAATTACATTGTCAGGATCACTGCTCTCACACAGCTTCAGCTCAAGAAGATAAACTTCAACCTTATAGTGCTTCACAAACAGACCATATTCCACTACCTGCAAACAGAAGGCAGATGCAATAAACAAAATAACAAAGTTAAAATACTGAGTTAAAATACCTCTGTAAGGTACACTTGTCCAAATATTTTAAGTCTTTAGGAGTCTTGCAAGTCAAGCCATAAACTGAACACTGACTTGATCTGAAGTCCAGATGCAGTGACAACCTCTGTCAGCTTGTTTCGGGGTTTTTGTTTTGAAATCCCAGTGCTTTCCTTCCACAGTGCAAAGTTCCAAAGGTCCATCATCACAGCTGAACTGATAGTGCCAGCTAATTACCCATGAAGAATATTTGATCACACAGTCAGAGCGTTCTAGAAAAAAAATTATCTTTTGCCTCTAGTTTTTGGCTAAGGTTTACATAAAAAAAGAAACAAGCCTGGGACACTGGAGCAAAATCCTTTCTATTAGAAGAGAGTAAGACAAAGCATTAATTATTTTTCTGCATGGTATACAGAATCTGCCTCATTAGTCTCTCCTTGCAAAAACAGACTAATACGTCAGAACCCATTTTGATGACATTGCTTTATTTCAGAGTCATTTTCAAATCAATTTCACATTTGAGAGAATACTCCAATAGGTACATCTACCCATCCCACTAGCTTTCAGCATATTTTTAGAAAGGTATTCTGTAACACTAGACACCACTCCACCTACAGATCATAAAACACATTATGCCAGAAAAAAAAGCACATTTCAAAGGCTAGTTATGAGACAACTGTGATGTAATTGAAGGGAAAAAAGCCCAAACAAACAAACAAAAAAATCAAAAAACCCACACACACCTCAATTCTCTCCACAGTTCTTTGCAGCTATAAAGCCTATGAAATTGAAATCATATTGAACCAGCAGGTATAATTTTTAACAGTGTTTAAGAGGCATTTCGACAATGTCCTTAATAATTTGCTTTAACTTTCGGTCAGCCTTGAAGTGGTCAGTTGACTAGATGATTGTTGTAGGCGCCTTCCAACTGAAACATTCTATTCAATTCGTGTGACACCAGACTTGCCATGATCTACATCTGGATCATTTTACAGAAAAAAACTTTACCCAGTTTTTGGAAAGAAACAAAGAATTAAGACTAAGACTTACCGTGAGAATTTGGCTAAATTACGCTTCCCTCTTCTGAGCTTTTATAGGGTTGTATTAGATATGCAAGGTGCGTTAAAGGTAAATAATTAACAAACATATTTGGAAAGATCTTCAGTATTTTGCTGTTACAACAGAAAGAGAAAGTAAAACTCCCTGTTTAAACAGCTTCTTGACAGGCAAATTAGACTTTTTTTTTTTAAAGAATGCAAAGGAACCAATTAACAAGTTCTCCTTTTCTTTTTCAGAAGGGATTTCATTAAATGGGACTTCCTGTTCTCCAGGATTCTATAGTTAGAAACAAAAAAGAACCATATTCAGAAATGGAAGAACTCTTTCCAAGAAGTTTCTGATCAGATCACCGTGTCTGCTAGGACAGATGAATGGCAAGAGTCTCTAATCACCTGCAGATGTCTTTCAAACAGTATCTGATCAGCTATCTTGTTCTCTGTCAAAGAAAAACTCAAAGTAAAAACTCAAAGTAAAACTCGGATCATCCTGTTGGACCACTGAGGAAGCACACTGTTCTATGTTTTGCACATTAATACATTTTGCAGTGGGACTCTATAGAAGACTGCCTGAAAATATCATTTGAGATTATCAAAAGAAACCTGAACCAGAAATAAATCTAGTCTAGTCCTCCTGTACTTGTCTCTGATCATCAGGCACATAGGGATGGAAGAAACACCAGCTTGCAAAGTTACAAAGATGCCTGAAAATTACTTCCCAAATCCTACTTTTATGGATATTTTGATGTATGAATTAGTTGATCCAGCTTTTGGAAAAGGATTAAAGCATTCAAGGACCACAACTTTAAGTGCTTTACTTCTAATGCTATCTGGAGAATACTGCAACCAGATACTGACCACATTCTACTCAGTGCAGTGCTGCAGGTTGTGCGTCCCACTGACCTTTCACTTTATATTTTTTGTAAGAGGCTGTAACATCCCACAAACCTACTATTCTGCTATATTTCAACACTTTTTAAAATGTGAAAGTCCACTTCAGTTACCAGGTTAACAATAAACAACACAGACTGAAACTCTCATAGCAATTCAAAACTTGAAAAATTTACTGATAACTGGACCACAATAACTCAGCACCTTCTGTCCGTAAAACAGCAGTAGCTCTAAGCCCCAGCCCTCACTAAATACAGTGTTGAATAGTGGCATCTGACAGCCCAAGAAAAGGAGGCTCGTACAGTTAAGCCTGTCACCCAAGTGCCTCCCCAAGAGCTGCCTCTTGTCCTACTTCCGAATTTTTCAGAAAAGGGAGTGTCTAATAACATGCCAGGCTTTGTGAAAGTGGTTAGCCAGTTCATGAACGAAAGCTTCCTCGCTCAGAGAGGCACTGATCAGTAATAGTTCTAGTTTTTCTTCTCAGTAGAGATTTTCTATTCCTCAAGAAATTATCTGTTTCTACTAAAACCATATCTCCTTTATATGCTATAATTCTTCTCCACTCCCCCCACTTCTGGTTTACATGGGAGTTCCGTCTACTCAGCAGAGTGAACCTGGGATCATTTACGCTTTCTGAAGATGTCAGAATTTCTTGTTATGTACAATTTCTAGCCCACACTAAATGGCAACGTCCCAGTACCACTGATAAGCATAAGTGGGCCTGCAAAAGAGGGATCTTACTTCCTTTTACCATTCTGCTGTCACACTTCCTAGTCTTGCACACCTTGAAGCAACCCTTACTGTAACATAATGCTACTTAAACTTAAGCAATATTAATTCTGTACATTATATCAACACTACTCGCTTGGTGTACTGTAGTGATTAGTCTTTATGAACCCCATAGACTGGCACTGCTCAATTTAGTCAGTGCAAAAACCTAAGACTAAAATAACAACAAAAATCCTTTCACCCATAAACAAGTGTCTGATAGATTTCCAAAATGCAACTTGCGAATTTCACCTTCTGGAACAGGTTATGTACTCAGAATGCATTCATGACTGCATTCGCCAAAAATAAGACTTACAGAACAAAACCGCAAATATGTCTCTTCTCATGATTTTAGAATCACAGAATTTTGGAAAAGAAAACAAGAACCACCTTAAACTCCAGAGGAAGTCCCTAAGCCATCTGTACTAAAAGACAATTTATTCCAATGCCTCGTTCCGTCCCAGAAGATCGATAAGCTTGACTAACAACTTGCATTTTTCAACAAAGCACAAACTATTCCATGCAGCATAAAAGCACTGCACCAGACCACACAATCATAATGTAAGAACTTAACCAGAACAAGGTTCATGGTTCTCACCCCATATAACCCATCAGCCGAGAATCACTGAAGATTCAGGCATTTTAATTGGAAAGTCATTCTTTCAGAAAACAAGGCAAAAAGACCTTATGTTATTCTCTCCAAAGAGCTGCTGAGGATCCTGTCTTAACTCACATCTAGCAAAATAAACATCGTCTAAGTTTGGTAGAGATCAGATAATGAAAGCAGGCTGAAGAGAACTTGGTTCGCCCATACTTACTTTTCTCACAATAGGCTGCTGTCCATCTATGCAGCCATACCACGTTACTAGTTTATTCCAGGCTTCGGTGGGAACCAGTACGTAATCTAGCTCGTCAATGAGGTGTTCTTTTAAACTCTGCGTTTCTGGATCTAAAAGGGAGACAGACACAAGAAAGCACAGCATCAAACAGAATCCTTTCTTCTCAAGAACTGCACACGTACTACCATAACCCGAAGAAATACCAACACTCCCACGGGTAGGTAGAACCCGCACCAGTCTCCTCGCTTACAAGGCCGGGTCGGCCGCTTCTATCCCCACAGAACACACGGCTTCAAAAGCGAAAGCTGCACGACGAGACGACCGCACACGGGAGTTACTTACCCGAGCCCGGGCTGCGACCCGAACGCCAGGCCCCCACCGCCCGGGGCCCCGCTCCCCCGCGG